TAGTTTTCCTGAATGTTCCGAAACTGTGCAGTCAACAGGATTGCGCCTGAACAACGGTCTACATAATGGCGTCGTAAGACGCGTAGAGTAAATTGTCGCAATGGCGCTCATATTGGACTTAACGCGTTCCTGCAGATGCGAAACGTCCATTTCTGACACAATCTTGACAATCGAAAGACTAATCTGCTCGGTATTGACATGCTCTCATTATCCTCTTTTTAATGTTGAAGTTTCATGGGTGCCCGTTCGCTGTTTTGGGCGAACGTATTTGATCTAACAACGTACCTTCGGGTGTTTTCCACATTCGGCGCCAAATGTAGCTCTCTGAAGGCGCTGTCAGTGGACATTCAGCATAGCATAGCATAATGGCGCCGTGGCCCACCTCAATGGCGCAGCGCGAGGGTAGGAGGAACGCGTTGTACTGGCGCCTAGACTGGACATACTTCTTTCATAAAATGGAAAGTATCAATTTCTGGCCGTTTCTCACTACAAAATGAACGTAACTGCCCTGAACTGATATGCTGTTAAGCTCGTCTCATTGAAAGTTTCGTGGTTGCCCGTACGCTCTTTGCTACCAAAACCTAGAGATGAAGATACTTTGTTAGAGCAAGTGAAAGTTGTATGATCTTCATGGATCTCCACGCAAGACTTGGAATTCGAAAATGGGGAATGTTGTGCTACAATGATATGAAAGCATGTGAATGCGTTGTACTAGCTCAAAGTATGTAAAATAAGTACGGCATAATTTGATATACTTCATGCACGCTCATGCACGCTAATGCCAACTAAATTCTTTACCCGAAGCGAAAAATAGGCATTGTTTTTAATGCCAGCACAAAGGTATTCTGGGCGCTTATGGCGCCGAAGTCCAAGGCGAGCGCCGACAAATTATTTCCTTAGCGCATTATCCAAACGAATGTGACAAAAACAAGATTTATGTGTTAAAGTGGTGCTGTTGAGTATGGCACCTTAAGGATGGCACTTTAACAACGGTTGCTGTCTTTCAAAACAGTGGTTTGTTGGGACACAACACATCTTTTTACAATTCGGTCTTCGGACGGCGCCAAAACCGGAGCCAAATCAGGACGGACTTTCGCCCAAGGACATTTTTTCTACTATAGCGCCAAGCAGTCCAGTTAAGCGCCAAAAAGTCCACTACTGGTGCCAGTGCCATTCCCTCGTGTGGTTGGCAGGCGCCTGGTTATTGCTGGTACCTGCGACTAGCAGTGAAGTGCTCTGGCGGTGGGAGAAATATGCGCGTTGGTGGTGTGCCCTGGGCCGGCACTATTGTTTCATTATTTGGCCGCTAGATGGCAGCGGGGCGCCGCGTCTGTTGCGGATTGCCCCAGGCGTCCATGCCCGCCGTCCACCGCCGTCAATTATCTGTACAGTCTCTGACAGGGGTGATATTGCATTGTCATGTTTTATATTTGCATGGATGAAATTCTCGCCGCAATTAATGTGCCACTCGAGGGTTGTCGCGGTATCGATTTCATATCATGCTCCATTGATTTTCTGGCGACGCCCGACAGACGGTGGCTTTCTCCCGTCACCGTTTGCGGGGTGCGCTTTGTCAGTGAGCGTACCGGGCAGGGGTAGTGGCCAGTCCCAAGGCCAGCTCAGCCAGCCTCCACTCAGTCGGTGCCCTCCGGACGGTGTGGGGTGGCGCAAATGTGTGTGCTCGTCAAGCAGCTCCCGGTGACCGGCGGTGACTTCATGGCTTCCGCCTCTGGGGCGCGCCGCCCGCCACGCGACCGGCCGTTGTGGGTATAGGTTTAGTGCGTGGTGCTCTCTGATACATGACTAGATCTATACTCATCAATGGAGGGTCGTGGTGCGCCGTGGCCGGCAGGAAGAGGGCGCCTGATAGCGTCGGAGAGGAGCGTGACTCGCCGGTGGGAGCCGCGCGTGGGATCTCGCACCGTCACACGCGTCAAGACGGCCGACGCTGCTGGCTGCTGCGAGAAGCGCCTTGCGCCGTTGCGAAGACAGTGCGGGTTTTGTGTAGTGCGCTATCGGTGTCTCGCATGATTTGCGTGGTTTGGTTCGGTCTCGAGTAATTTTGCGGCGGAAATTCGGGAAGAAGCCTTCTCGCTTGGTGTGGTTTATTGCGATACCATCAGTTGTTTGTTTCCTTGTGAAGAAACGTTGTCTTGCTATCTTGGCTTCATTGATTAGGAACCTTTTACTGCACTGGGCATTTCAGTGTTTCATGACTTGTTCCCATTTTGCAACTGTATTTGGTAGACATTGCAGGAAAACGTTCCGTGTCTTCTTGCTCGACTGGTAGTGGCCTCGGTCTTGTGCAGCAATCCGCTGGGCCCCGTAGGGAGCGATCGTCTGATATGCGAGTGTTATTCCCATGCCCCCCCCCCCCCCCTCACCCGGATGAAGACGGATATGACTCGCGTGACTGGCTAGGATCGTTCAATTGGTGCGTGAAAGGATGCATGGTGCGGTTCCTTCATGAAGATGACGGCGACATTTGTATGAAAGCGTCGGGGTTTGATCCGAGTATCCTGAGCGTTAAAAACTCGTTATAATGTGGGGTGTGAAGCTACTTGCGGTTTGGTGTTCGCCTGGGTCTTAAGTATTCGCCCGATGACCTTTAAGGCGTTTGCTTCGATCATTTGTCATTTGTTCGGGCAGCTTGTCATTTTAAGCTCAGCTTCCCCCGAATCAGTGCATTTGTTGGCGACTCGTGGCGTGCTTGCTAGAGTGCCACGAGCCGCTACGTGTTCCCACGGGCTCCTCACGCACGTCACGCCACGCCTGCCGGTGTGCAGCGCGCGTGACGCGGCGTGCGGGAGAGCGCGTCCTGGAATCCTTTGTTCGACTTGCGTAGTCAGCTGTTGGTTTTTGGTGTGGCCGCCTGACAGCTGGCGGCCGGCACGCCGGTTCAAAGTCCTCGCCGCTCGTGTCACCCGGCGTGCCGACCCCGCGTTGTGCAAGACAGCTGCGGCCAGGAGGGGCAGGGCCACACCCTGCACAAGGTCGTCCGTTATCAGTTTGTGATGCGAGTCTCGCATTCCGCTAGTCGTGTTCTTGATGCTCTCTGTGCGCATAGCGGTCTTGTAACTGCTTGACGGGCTGTTGAAATAAACATCAGGAATGGCACCTCTACAGACGAATTTTCATGCTCGAGCGAAGCGCATCAGAGCCGAGAAGATC